TAAATGAAACTAATTCATAAAAAAAAGTCCTAAAATAGACTAAAACAGTGCTAGAATTGAAGTAAAAAACGTTAAAAGAGTAGGCTAAAATCATGGAAAATTTAAGCTAGTAAACCAGCCAAAAGAAGGTGGCTAACCCCTCCATTTTTGGGACTTCAACACCACATTTTTAGCCTTTGAAAACCTCTGAAAATCAGTGGTAAAAAATTTAAAAAAAGTTGATGACAAGGTGGGAAACACTAGGGCCTAAAATGCAAGGGTAATAGAGAGGTGGTCCACTCCTCTACCCTTAATGGACTCAAACCACAAGTTTCAGCCCACCAATACAGGTAAAAAATAGTACAAAAATAGCAATAAATGATGATAAATGAATAAGGGAAAGAAGCTTGGAGTTATACCTCTTGAATAGGAATGACCCTTTGAATCACAAACCACTAATTTCACACCCTCAAGAGCTTAAAATGCAAGCCTAAACACCTCAGCCAAGAACCCTCAAGGTTTGATTTGGAGTGGCTAGGCAAAGGGTATAAAAATTGTAAGAGAGAAATATTTTTCAAAACTTTTGCTCCTTAAATTTTTCTAACCCTAAAAAAATGAGAGGGAGTCATCTATATATAAAAATATATCAGACCATCTTGGAAATATCCATACAGACACAACTGGTGTAGTGCATGCATCTATATAGACAGTTGGCACAGCTGGCAAAAAGATCTAAGATTTTACACAAGTGGGCGGCCGACTACCAATAGTGGGCGGCAGGCCACTAGTGGGGATGATTAGGCTTGAAAAACTACTATTTTGGTCCAAAAACTAGGCATAAGATTTGTAGGTTTTTGAGGCTCAAAACTAAGGTTTCTTGTTGAGGAATTTGAGCATTTGAACAAGCGTGCACATTCATCATTGGGTGACTAATCGGTGGTGCCCAAGTCTAAGGGCAGTCAAAAATGGGGTGTCTGCACTCACTTAGTACTCTGGGGTGAGCCAAAAGAATAAGTTAGAGTATATGCATGATCTTATATATAAATAACTAATGCAATACATACATGACATGCATCTATAGGTCCGGATACTAAGATATGAAATGAATATCATCTCAAGACACGGGGGTAGCGCATATATTTAGCTCATAAATGATAAACTTTATGAATGCAAATGAACCGGACCCGAATGCATGGAAAATAAATGCAATACATGGGCATGGTGAATAAGATATGATGCTATATGGAAAACATGTAAATAAAAGAAAGACGTGGGGTTGGAAGATTATTACAACAGTTCAAATAAGAAAAGAGGGGAGATGAAGATTATTACAATAACTAAATCAATAATAAATGAAAAGATGATGGGGGTTAGAGAAATTATTACAATAGCCAAATTATCATTGAATTTAACAAATCATACTAAATAAACAAGATACTTCAACCAGCATCTCCAGAATCACCTGGGAGAGCACTCCCCAAAAACTGTTTGCTTTATTTTTGGAAAGATTATCCAGCCATACATAAAATGGCCCGACCGAATATAAAACTGGTTGGCTAAACTCTTCTTCCGGGCAAGATTTAGGTTGGTGCAAAAAGTTCAGAGCATAAGCCAAGAACATCTTCCAACAGATTCTCATCCCTTCTTACTTTTCTACTCACAAAAATCACTTAAAGAGGAAGGTAGATGGGCCTCAACCTTTGACAATGGTATAAATAGATATTTGCAACAGATATTTTGCAATAAATTAACAAATTAAGGGATAAAAGCCAAAACAAATTGAAGGCTAAGAAATAGATGGGAACCTACATCATCTCTTTGTGAATAAGGGCAAGTTAATACCCAAATCTATGTTATTAATTGGAGAGAGTAAATTAATGCACATCATTTCTTAGTGGAATATTTGCTTTAAAAACAAAGGATTCATGAAAAGTTATTGAAAACTCCTATTCTATATATAGAACAAGGGTGTTTCTAACCCTTTCCATGTTCACAAATGATTAAGAAGAGATAACTCAATGCTCTTAACATAAAATCTCTTGTTTTACTTTCAAAATAATCAATAAAATGAAATAACACAATCTTTTCAACATCAAATCCGATGGATTATCCAAGTAATCCTATGAAAAACCCTATCACTCATTAACATTGAGCATGTGTTAGGACACATAGACTAATATGCTTAGATGATGGGATATGTGAGGAGAAGATGTGTAACAAAGAAAGAACTCTATTCTATATATCAAACTTGTGAATGGATGGCTAATTTCTTCTCCTTGTCACATCCACAAGGTTCTAAAGTACACAACAACAATGGATATTAGCTAAGGAAAGCAAGAAAAGAGAGAAAACTATCAACTCAATGGATGAGTGGCTAATTTCTATTCCCAACCACATCCATGAGGACTTATTACATGATTACAACAGTTATATGATAAGAATAAGGTTAGAAATGAAGGAAAAGAGGGAGAAAAGTGGTTAGAAGTGCAATGATTTCACCTCTTAAAGAGGATGAGCTTCTTTGTTTTACAAACTCTCTCTTGGTCCCCTCAAGAGCCTTTAAATGTGTCCTAGAATGTCCAAGAACCTTAGCTAGGAGCTTAAGATTAAGCTTTAATGGTGCTTGGTTATTGAAAGTTGATGGAGGTAGGTAGGAGAGACAGGAGGAAGAGTCTCTAGCCTTGTATATGCCTTGGGTCAATTTTCCAATCCTTAGAAATGAGCTGTAGAGCTCTATTTATAGAGCCTTGGGTGTAAATATCTGAGATATTTGTAGAAAGTGTGTTGAACAAGCTAAAATTCGCGAAAATGCTCTGTACCCGAACAATTCGACTGACTATACCCTTTGGTGTCCAGCTGAATGTACCTTGAGCTGGCCATAATATGTTCTCTAGCTAGTTAGAAAATACATCGTTGGACCAACAAGGTAAAGTTGGCACAAATTAAAAGGAGAAATACGTATTTCAGAGGATTTTATCCCTTCCATTAATTCCCACTGTGTCCATTGCTCAGTTTGTTTAAAAATGCATGACACTCTAGTTTAAGAAATAATGAGCCTCAGGACATATTGGTAATGTTTGGAACTATACAACCCAACTCATTTTGAAAAAGGTTTTCCACTAGCTGAAAAGCATTTTGACCAAAACAAGTGTTTGGATGGTTTAAGGACTCAAACCTTAGATTTCTTGCTGAAACATTCATAGGACTAGCACATCTTATTTTCATCATTGGATATCCAAGAAAGAGTGCCCAAGTCTTATGGCTAGTAAAAAATGAGGTGTCTACAGTTGCCTCTCTTTAACATAGCTCAATGCGTTATTTCATGACATAAGTGAATGTCAAAGCCTGAACGCAACCTGTTTGACAAGATCACATGGCTTGGGCAAACAAACAAAATGAAAATGTAATTGATTGAACCCGAGGGTTGCTTATGTATCCTTCTACAATGAATCAAACCAGCGCAGTTTAGAGGCAAAATACAAATGCTATGCTTGAAATACATATGAAAAGTTGGGCTTAAAAACCATGTGCTGCCGCGGTTTGAGAGTTGGGCTTACATGTACCACACTGCCAAATATTGAAATATTTGATGATGCGAACACCATGGAAGGTGACAACGTGGAACAAAGATAAAGCTGCAAAGATGGGGGGAAAAAAAAAAGATGAGAACGTTGTACAAATGACATGAAGCATGCTAAACAATGCAAACATAACAAATGAAAAAAAAAAAGGTCCAAACGCGCTTCACACGAAGGAAGGAAAGGTGGGTGAAACCAAACACGCTTGTGACTAGCAATCACAACGACAGGGAACTCCACAACTTACTCCAACAAGTCGCAATGTGAGAAAAGAAAAGGCGGTCACAGCCAAACTCGTACGTGACCGATAGTCACAGTGATAGGGAACTCCAATCCTGACCGTTAGTTAACAAAGGTGAACCCCTGAAATAAATCCCAAACACGCCGTAACGTGAGAGGGAGTGAGGGTGGTGTTAACGTTTAACTCATAAGGATTTGGTATTAACCAAAAGTCGAAGCCAAACTCACAAGTGATCAGCAGTCACAGCGATAGGGAACTCCAATCCTGACTGGCAGTCAACAAAGGTGAACCTTGAAACAAACCCCAAACATGTTGCAATGGGAGAGGGAGGGAAGGGTGGTGTTAACCTTCAACCCGAGCAGGGGATGGTATTAACTAAGGCTGAAGCCAAACTCGCGCGTGACTGACAGTCATAGCAATAGGGAACTCCAATCCTGACTGGAAGTCAACAAAGGTGAACCCCAAAACAAACACTACAACAAAAAAAGCCTTCGGTGACAGATTGATTGTCTCCAAATATCAAATTTGTCACTAAAGTGATCTGTGACGAAAAAATTTTGTCACCACGTTTGTTGCCTATACGTTGTCGCTGAAAGTACCTGGTGACGAAAACAGTTTCGTCACCTATTTTTCATTTTTTGCAACGAAAATTTTCATCTCCAAATGTTGCATTTTTCGTCCTCTATAACATCAATTTCATCACTAAAACTTGATAATATTTTATTTTAATTGTTTTTGGCTATGAAATATTTCGTCACCAAATAGATTTTAGTGACAAAAGTTTTCCTCACCAATGATATAGATTAAGGTGACAAAAAAATTCGTCACTAAAATGAACAGAAAAGAAAATTCTTCAATGACAAAAAACATTGTCACCAAAATTTTCAATTTAGCGACGAAATATTCAGCAAATGTGACAAAATTATTTGTTTGGTATTACATCATTAGTGACAAAATTATTCGTCATGTTTTTTGAAATCTAATAGCGACATTTTTTATTTCGTCGCTAATAATAATTAAAAAAATTTAAAATGGAGGCACTATTTTCAAATTAAAATTTTTATTTTCAGTAAAAATTCCCTGCGCATTTCATAACCTGTTAGCCTGTTCAATATAATATCTATTACAAGTCAATACAAAAATCTGTTCATTTTCATAAACATCACAATCGAATTTCAGCAATATCCACAAAAATGCAATATGAACTACACGCGGATTACCAAACACGTCTTCTAATATCCACAAAAAACATGTCTACTAATATCCACAAAAATACAATATCAACCGCATGCAGATTACCAAACACGTCTCCTAATATCCACAAAAAACATGTTTACTAATATCAACAAAAATATAATATCAAGTGCGGATTACCAAACATGTCTTGGAATACCAACAAAAATAAAAAATTTACAACGCAACCAAAATACATGTAAGGTAATATGAACAAAAACACAAAATAACCTAGCTTCTGCTCTCCAAATTACCAAATACGTCCATATCAAATCTCGAATCTGCAAAAAAATGAAACACAAAAACAAAAACAAAAACAAAAAAGAATGCAAGTAAGACAATTATTATCTTATCAATTAAATATACAATTTAACATGCATTTTTCGACTTAGTTTTCAAATCGGGAGTCCCGTACTAGTTTTGTAAGTTTCCAAAGCTTACATTGGTCCCTCCCGAGGTGTTTGAGGTGTTTCCCGGGCCTTCTTGTGCCTGTTACAAGATTTTGGCTCCCAATGGCCTATTTACAAGCTTAAGTGTTGGAAAAATTCATTTTTGTATTTAGTTTTCAAACCGGGAGTCCCGTGCTAGATACATAAGTTTACACAAGTTACAACCATTGCTTTAGAGGTGACTGAGGTGTTCCTCGGGCCTTCTCATTGTTGTTTAACGATTTTGGCCCCCAATGGCCTCTTTTCAAGATTAAGAGTTGGAAAAAGTGCCTTTTTTAACTTAGTTTTCAAATCGGGAGTCCTGTGCTAGATACATAAGTTTACACAAGTTACAACAGTTGCTTCAGAGGTGATTGAGGTGTTCCCCGGGCCTTCTCATAGTTGTTTAATGATTTTGGCCCCCGATGGCCTCTTTTCAAACTTAAGAGTTGGAAAAAGTACCTTTTTTTACTTCGTTTTCAAACCGGGAGTCCCGTGCTAGATACGTAAGTTTACACAAGTTACAACGGTTTCTTCAGAGGTGATTGAGGTGTTTCCCGAGCCTTCTCGTGGTTGTTTAACGATTTTGGCCGCCGATGGCCTATTTTCAAGCTTTAGAGTTAGAAAAAGTGCCTTTTTTGACTTAGTTTTCAAACCGGGAGTCCCGTGCTAGTTCCGTAAGTTTCCACAACTTACATTGGTCCCTCTTGAAGTGTCTGAGGTGTTCCCCGGGCCGTCTTGTGACTGTTACACAATTTTGGCCTCCGATGGCCTATTTTCAAGCTTAAGTCTGAAAAAGTGCATTTTTGGACTTAGTTTTCAAACCGGGAGTCCCGTGCTAGTTCCGTAAGTTTTCACAACATAGATTGGTCCCTCCCAAGGTGTTTGAGGTGTTCACCAGGCTGTCACATGGCTGTTGCACGATTTTGGCCCCCTGATGGCCTATTTTCAAGCTTAAGTGTGAAAAAAGCGTCTTTTTCGACTTAATTTTCAAACCGGAAGTCCTATGCTAGTTCCGTAAGTTTTAACAACTTACATTGGTCCCTCCTGAGGTGTTTGAGGTGTTGCCCAGGCCTTCTCATGATTGTTACACGATTTTGGCCTCCGATGGCCTATTTTCAAGCTTAAGTATGAAAAAAGTTTATTTTTAGACTTAGTTTTCAAACCGGGAGTCCCGTGCTAGTTCTGTAAGTTTCCATAACTTACATTGGTCCCTCCCGAGGTGTTTGAGGTGTTCCTTGGGCCGTCTTGTGGCTGTTACATGATTTTGGCCTCTGATGGCCTATTTTCAAGCTTAAGCGTGAAAAAGTACATTTTTAGACTTAATTTTCAAACCAGGAGTCCCATGCTAGTTTAGTAAGTTTCCACAACTTACATTGGTCCCTTTTGACGTGTTTGAGGTGTTCCCAGGCCGTCTCGTGGATGTTACACGATTTTAGCCTCCGATGGCCTATTTTCAAGCTTAAGTGTTAAAAAGTACATTTTTTGACTTAATTTTCATATTTCCTTCTCTATCTCTCTCCCTAACAATCAAATTCAAAATCTAAACATACATTTAGTTTGTAATCACCTTTAACCATTGCAACTTTCTTTCTATATTTCTATGATTTAGTTATCAAAAATTTTTAATAGCAATGTGGCACTCCTATACTTTTCTTACTTTTTGACAAGGACATATAGATGAAATTAGCTACCTTACTAAGGAGGAAGTGATAAAACAGCATTAAGAAATGGAAGGTTAAAATGAAGTTCGATGGCTCAACAAAAAGAAAACAAAATGGAATTTACCTCATGTCTTTTGACTTGGGAATAAGATGTACTAAATGCTCCGGAGAGTAAGGAAAGAAGAGGCAATATGAATTTCCAGAGAGATCCTTCTATGGCTTTGCATATCTACAATCCATAAGAATAAAAGCAACATTGAAGGATGAAATTGTAGATTAGTTGTTTCGTGCAAAACAAGAGCAAAGAGCAAGACAGGAACAAACCCGACAAAAGGTAGGTGCACTCTACAGTCATACAGGACCTGCACATCGTTCTAAGGAGCTTCAGACTTGTGGTAATGATCATCACTTTCACAACAAAACAAATAGATCAATTAGAAAAACAAATACTTTTGTATGTTATTTAATAGTGACGGGATACCAAACATATACAAGTTAACAACACATAATGAAAGCCAATATTTGAAAAAAGGCTGTTGAAGATACAAGCAATGGAGATCAAATCCATCGAGATAAACTATCAAAATGAAATAGAACCACTTAAAAAACTAAAAAAATTGCAATAATATAAATGAAATCTCAAACAACATAAGATTAAAGGTGATACTGAAACACATACTGAAACATTTTCATCAGAATTTTTCATTTTATTTTTCTTACAGTGTAACAAGTGCCAAATAATCCTGTACACACAAAGTGATTATCAAATTTCTTCCTAGTCTCTTAATTCCCACCCCTCCCAACTCTTTGCAGGGAGTTGATGCAATGTTCCTCACGATGAAAACATGCAAAATTTTCTTTTCTCATATTGCATTTGTTTGTACAAGCTTCCAAGAGATTCTGTATCATTTTTGCAAGTTGTAAATTGAACAATAAACAACTTCGTATATTAGGATTTCAGACAAATCGACAAAGAAATAGCAATGTATACACTCACGAAAAGAAAAATGCTCTAAAAAAGTTTTCATATAACTTTTGGAAAGGAAACGTAATTGAAACACCACTGGAAAGGTTGTAGACGGTTTGATTAGCAATTAAGGAAGCAGACAAGCTATTTTCACAAAGTCGATGACTCAAATACTACAATGTCAAGGCAGAGAAATTTCTACCCAAGAATCTTTAAGGAAGCAGAACATAAGAGAAAATTGAACATGCTCAATTAAGAAATTCTCAAGGCAGAACCCTTATTTTGAGTATGTAAATTCTACAAGTTCATTTGTCTTCCAAAGACACAAATTTCAGAAATTATAGACAATGTATGACCAAAATGAAATCCAGGGAAATAATCTTAATATCATTAGCTTTCAAGCAATGGACATAAAGATGTGCTAAATTCTAGTTGCTGTCAAGACAAAAAGGCCAATTTACAAACCTGAACCTCACAGGGAAGCTATATCCTTTTGCTGGGATGGGAACGTTTGTTAACATCTCTTTGGGAGCATCAATAAACACAATAGTCCCTTTCAACACTGTAACTGCTGTTTGTAGTTTCAAACTTGAATTTTTAAAGATCACTGTTTGAAGAAATGAGTTCCAGGCAAGGTAAATCAGCACCATTATATTCAAGCCAGTCAAATCATGCTAAAAAGTACAGAGACAAGAAATCCATTAAAATAGTTTACTGAAAATCTAGAACAGCGAAGGGAAAAATGTTCTGCCCAATACCTCAAGTAGTACCTTCCCCAATGGCTTCAGCTTTTCCAGACATCATGTCCACATATATAACACTTTCATTGGCACTCAACCAAAGGCCAAACACTTGATCATTTAATCCTAGCATAAAACGGAAAATGGAAAAGTAACAATTAACTTAAAGCTCCACTTTGTCTTCAGAAACAAAAAAATTGGCATTTAAATTATTCATCAATTTCAGACTAAGATTTCTACCTGACATATACAATTAGTATGGCTTTTTAAACATTAATTCAATGTTGTCTTTTAGATCTAGATTTCCGAAATGGATTTGTGAGTTTCAGTTGTGACCAACTGAAAATTAATGTAAAATTTTATCATACACCAACCTTCTACACTGAAGTTGAGCTGACTTCCAAGGTGGAGGACTGGATTCTTAGGGTATAAATGAGAACCCACTGAAATCTGAAGAAATTCACAATTTAGAAAACGCAATAGAGGAAATCTTAAAAAGCAGTAATTACGCCTACAAGCATAATCTTAACAATTACAACATCAAGCTTAAGAAGTCAAATTCCCTAAGCAATCAAAATAACACAGCAGATGCAGGCATTCATACAAAGAGAAAGAAGAACCTAAGCCTATGAATTTGTCAATAGAAAAAAGAACCTAAAATTTTTGGGGGAAAAACAATGGACTATTACAGTTTCAAGAGAATAAAATGTAACAATTTATTTTTCCAAAAGAGAAGTCACTTTTACCAAACCCCAAAACTTAAAAAAATTACTTTTGTCTTTGGTTTAAAAATTAAACAAATTAAAAACTTGGTTTCCCTCCTCTCAACCCATCATTCACAATTTTGGAGTTTCAACTAAGGATCAAAGACTTTGAAAATATCATTGGGTCTCAACAAATTTGTTCTGACAAGAGT